TTTTACTGTGTAAGAAAGACTGGACGTTATTCCAAGGAATGTGTTACATTGTGGGTAACAAAACATCTCACGACTATCTAACATGGCCGGAAGCTGAGAAAAAATGCCAACGTATTGGCAACAATGGACATCTCGTTAGCATCCATAGTCAAAGTCAACAGAACTTTATTCGGTCTCTTCAGAGGTAAGTTTGTTTTTGTTACCCACCTTCAAATCATTATATTCAAGCGCAATAACTTGTTGATCGCGATCGTTTCAACATGTAGGTATGGGTATTAGGATGGTTTCGAATCCAATTTGGATAAGACATGCGCGAGTGAGATTTTCAAAGAGCATCAAAATAGCATGAGTCCGAAGGACGAGTGCTTTTTAAGGTCTTTTAAAATCTCTCGGGCGCTTCTTTTATCCAAATTTCACGAGAAACCGTCCTATTACGTTCTAATAATATACATAAAAATGTTCGAGACAATTGTAGTTTTAACTTACGTTTATAGCGAACCGTCCACAGGCAAAGTTTTCCTGGCTTTGTTATATCACATTATACAACGGTAACAGCTTGAAAATTCCACTCAACTATGTAAGTTTCAAGACTGTCGGAAGCGGAGGGGCTGGAATGAATGAACGCCGGAATGAATGAATGGCTGGTGCATATATTATACACGTCCTAAAAGACCTTTATAAAAAGGTTGACGTCAGCAGTTAAACAATAACTTCAACTCTTTGTAGCTATAATCGTACAGCTATAACCAGTGGCGTAGCCAAACCTTAATTTTGCAGGGGGGCGAACATCACGCCGAAGGCGTGAGACCGTCTAGGAGGGGCCGGGGTCCGGAAAATTTTGAAATCTAGGGCTCCTGAATTGCGATTTCATGCATTTTGGGGGTGAAATCCATAAGATATCTATGGTGAAATATAGCAGAATTCCGAAGATTATAATATCCATCGAAGACATGAATTTTTCCAGACATTTCTACACGAAATTAAATAATTGGAAAAGTCACCTTGAAAAATAGGAGGAGGGGTCAGTGTCACCTTATTTCCTCCCTATGATGCTGGGGGAGGGGGAATCCCAATGTGATTTTGATCAGAAATGTTGCATTTAAATCATTTTAGGTTCTATGAGACACTATTTCCGCATTCTCAAAATTGCGTCGCTTTTTCATACGATACAGAATAAGTCTGAGAAGAAATATTCATGCTATGATGATGCATACATGTATTTAACAGTTAAAAATCTAAACTAAATCTACTCTTCTTGGAACCATATCTACAACTGCTTTAACGAGATTTCACAAATTAAGTTCCTCCAGTATACCGTCTTTTTCCTCAGTCGAGACGTACTTAATCAGTTTCAGCTTCGAGAATGTAACGTGTACACCCCCCCCCAAAAAAAAAAAAATTCTCTACGGATTTTGCCTTTCTGAGAGAATGGGTTTTTGGGGCGATTGGGGGGGGGCTGTTAATATAACTTGATATTTTTTAAGAAAACAATTTTGCAATAAAACCTCCCAAAACAAAACACAACGCCTCTACGGAGGAGAGTGCTAGGAAATAGTCGCAAGGCTTGGAAAGGCTAGCATTTTATCGGATTGTTTGCATGAAATCTATCGCTATTATGAAATACTCGGTGAAGAACAATATGAATTACACACAAGATGGCTGTGGAGGAGGCTATGGAAGGGCATAATCTCATTATCAAGTAAATCAACTGCAATTCTGACAGCAATCATGAGCAATTCTGCTTCGCACATCGGGGGCAGAAATGGCTTTACTGGGGGGCAAATTCTTTCCCTCAGGGAGAGCAATTGCCCCCCCCCAGATATATAGTTAAAATAGGCACTGACTATATCGATAAAAATAATAGACTTATCAGTAATACGAGTTACTGTGTACAAGATGTCCTCAGACTCACAGTCTAAGTTCACTTATGTATTTTTTGTACCATCACTGAGCCTGTGTATTGCTGTCTACAGCTTGATTGGGGCCATTCTGATGATTAAACTGATGAATTTGAGAAACAGAAAAGAAAAATGATACTTTTAGCAACGAAGTATGTAAACAAACCAAGCGAACAATTTGCTAAATGTTGACAATAAAAGAATGTACAATCTAATATATAAACAAATCAAATTTAAACTACGACGAATATGAAAACACATTTGGCCTATATATAGAAAAAATTACTTCAAACTTACCATAATACTGGCTTATTTTGGCTTTTATAAAACTCAAAACAAGTAAACAACTCTGAGCTTTCGGGATTTTCTGCGCAAACTACGTCACAAGCCTGCTGACTTCAACCTTTTTATAAAGGTCTATTACGCATTCAGTATAAACTTTTTATTTAATTGACCGGGAAAATGAAGACAAGCTTTTGTTATTTCTCATTCAATTTTTAACCAAAATCAACCAAATTTTAATCACTTCTTCCTTAGCCAATGAGAAATGCGTTTGAAAAATTTCGTATGGATATGTTTGGTATTTCTTGAGTTATCGTGCTCACAGACATACACAAACACACACACACACGCACGCACACACACACACACACACACACACATGCAAACCCAGATGATTACATAACCTCCTGGCGGAGGTAACTAGAAATGTGTGAAAGCGATTCAGATTTATTCAGATTTATTCTTCAGCCCCACCCCCACCACACCCAATATTGATTTACTTTCTACGGCTCCGAGTTTTGTTAGTCTTGTGTAAGGTAAAAGCTTTTCCATTTTAAAAAATCTAAAAGTCAGATTTTCCAATCAAAGTCAACTTTTACTTTATGTAGCGCGGCGCCATGTTTGTTTTGTTTTGAAGCAATCTGTGAGTCTGTGACCGTTACTTGATAACTGCTTTAAACTGATTGGTTGATTTTATCATCACATTGTTTTCCACCAATCAGATCAGTTTGGTCGATATAGACTTTTGCAAGGTGATAACAGAAAATTGCACTGTGATTACAGAAAATTGCACTGTGATTTCAGAAAATTACACTGCTGTTTTGTGTTAATTGCACTGAAATCTAGTTTGAAGTTTTGTTATGTTTTGTAGGGGTTGGGTAAAAAGAACTCGAAACATAATAAAAATCTTGTTGTGTAAATTTATGCTCTATTTGTGGTATACATTTTCAATAAACGTATTTTACATGTTCTATAACATACTTTAAACTAGAAATACATGCATGCAGTAACCCCTCGCCAATATTTTCCAAACATTATATTAACATGAATTATTTCGAAATGACCAACAATGAACGCAGGCTCGCGCTCAAGTGTTGCCATGACAACACGACTATTCTTAAATTTTTAATTTTTTCATATTTTTTGTACAAAAGTGGAGAATAGTTGAAAGATTCGTACTTTTAATTATATAACAATAAATTTCCGAAATATATACTGTGAGTATTATATTTTGCATTTTGTGAGCTTTGATTTAATTGTAAAATTTAACTTGAAACGCTTGAATGTTTTGAAATGTTTATTCAACTAAACTACATTTTACCGTTTTTAAACTGTTTTCACTTAATAAAACATAATAAGTTCAGTGGCGTAGCCGGCCCGACAACTTGTCCCGCTATGCAAATTCAAAATTATTATCATTATTCATTTCTTTTGAAATTGATTGTTTTCACAGTCATGAATACGAGAATATTTGCATAGCTGGACTAAATCGTCTGACTGGATAGGCTGCTGAATAATTTTAACACAAATAAAACAAATTGTTAGGTAATTTCAGTTCAGTCTTCAAATCAATTTGTTTGCCTTTACATTTTAAGATTTTTTCTCAAATTAAACGGTAATTTATGAAGCTTAGAGCTCCATTGAAAAGGAAAACAGTTCATGTTTTTAGGCAAAAAGTTAAAGCAACAAAATTCGTAAACATTAAATATTCAAAGAATATTTGCCGTATTTTTCACGATTTCCCATGGTAAATCAATTCTTCTCATTTCTTGAAACAAAATAGCTTCAAGCTTGTTGTATTCGAAACGATTTTCCAAATATATTTCTTTTAAAATTGAAATCTTGCTTATCCCACTCCTACAAGCAATCAGCCATACTTTTTAGATCAGTGAGGATGACCACCCCCTCAAGATCGTTGGTCACGCCCGCGATTATTGATGAACTTTAGACTTGGCTAATGCTTTCGTTTTCCCGGGTATAAATAGCCGAAGGGAATTAGTACGCTCGCACGGCGCTTCGCGCCGTCGGCTCGGGGATTAGGCACTCTCTTATTTAATAAAAATTTATCTAGTGAATTTCCATAATACAATAGAGAAACATGATGGTATATCCAAAGTCCAAAACAACCGTGAAGCACATTCCACAATGATTGTATAAATCTGTATCTATCCGCACTACTGTATACACAAACTGAAAGACATACACACATTTGTGTACGCCACAAGTCCACAACACCCTTGACAGCACCAGGGAATATTACATTGGCAAGGTCCCTCGCCTTGGCACATCGCCACACAAATGAATAAACTAAAAGTACATCTTGACTCCTTGTATAAATATAAAGGCAATCAGTGGGCTATTAGAAAGGCAATTTCATGAAATCATATTGGTTTCAATACCTCTATTTCGAACACTAAACAGCAAATCTAAGTCGCGTTCTCGAATCGCGTCCGGTGTGTTTGGACCTTGAACAAGGTGCGCGAAATAGTTAAATCGCGCGAATTTAAAGCAAAGCGAAAATGAATACGACGCGATTATTGTTTTAATGGCACCTTCAAGGCCACCCCTATCGGAGAACAACTGAACAATCTGCTGACGAGGAGACAAAATCTATTTGTTGACATTTGCCTTGGCACATCGCCACACAAATAAATAAACTAAAAGTACATCTTGACACCTTGTACAAATATAAACACAATCAGTGGGCTATTAGAACTGCAAATTCATGAAATTATATTGGTTTCAATACCTCTATATCGAACACTAAACAGCAAATCTAAATATACATGCCCTCATGTATATCACCAGAAAGAAATAAAGCTATCCTTACCGGAAATATTCAAAATATTGTTGATCGTTTGCATCGTGAAAATCCAACATACTGCATGTAAATAACCTCGTATTATTAAAACTGTAATCCTGAAAAGAATCATGCGAGAGCAATCCAATCCAACATACTGCATGAAAATAACCTCGTATTAAACTGAAATCATGAGAAGAATCATGCGAGCGCAATACAAAATAAATCAAATCGAATCAAATCGAATAAAAACAAAGAGTCGTCGAATCTAAAGGAGATCAGTGGGCTATTAGAACAGTGGCGCCACCAGTTCGATAATATGGGGGCGAATATCCATATCTTCGTCTTCTGCATTATTAACCTCTTTTGAAATCGATTGTTTTTATGGTCTTTGAACACAAATATGTGAATATTCGACCCCTCCCCCCAATTATCGAGCTGGCGGCGCCACTGTATTAGAACTGCAAATTCATGAAATCATATTGGTTTCAAATATACCTCTATATCGAACACTAAAGAACAAATCTAACTATAAATGCCCTCATGTGCATCACCAGAAAGAAACAAAGCTATCCTTACCTGAATTATAGAAAATATTGTCGATCCTTTGCATCGCGAAAATAAACATAGTAATATACGGCATGTAAATAAGCTCGTATTAAACTGTAATCCTGAAAAGAATCATGCGAGCGCAATACAAATCAAAATAAAATAAAAACAAAGAGTCGTCGAATGCCCGAGCTGACGGCAATTTCCGAAAAATCTTGGCATCCGACCGACTGACATGGATTCAGAACTGTTTCCCCAATATAACTGGGCCGGTGACCGGGCACGAGAAAGTAAGAACGTTGTGTAACGACAAGAATAGGGAGCTAATTAATATTCAGCAATTATGTCAACAAACGAAACGATGAGAAGGACATTGTCTTCTCTATTTCGTCTAATCGGTAAAATTTGTTGTTCGAAAGAGTTATTTATGAAACTGGCGCATAAGATGCCTTCGATGTCCGTCATGTTTGGCTCGAAATTTTTAGCTGGAGTCAGCCTTCCATGTTATATTTTTTAAAGATCGGTTATATTGTCTAGTGCTTGGCAATCTTGAATTAAGCCCGGTTGCAAGGCAAAGTGAGTCAAAATAATAATTTTCTTGCGACAAAATCGGCCGCCATGTTGATTTTTGCGGACTCTCTATAAATGTAGCTTAACAGTATGATTTATGATCGATAAACTTTCCGATCGGTAGAATTAAACAGTATTACTTAAAAAGCCCTTGTTATGTGTTGTTGATTTAGTTGTTCTTATTTGTTTCTTAATAATCTATGATGGCTTGTTTTGAAAAATTAGATTTGTCGTTTGGAATGAAACTAGACTGCTAATGTAAAGCAACGAAAAGAATTACAAAGTAATTAAGTTAGTTGACCAGTGAAATAAAACGAGTCAAAATGTCCATTGTAATACAACACAAAACAATAATTACTCCGCCAAAATTGTAAACATTTTCATTCTTTACGTTTCGATTATTAATTAAGTCGTATTCAGATGAATGGAAAAAAGGTGTAAGCGTCTCATTTCTTTAACTTAGGCGTCGCGAGAGTATTCCTATGTGGATTGGTTTGAATGATCTTGGCACTGAAGCTAACTATAAATGGACTGATGAGTCAACTTATAATTACTCTAACTGGGCCTCTGGACAACCCGACAACTATTTTCGAAAAGAAGATTGCATCCACCTGGTGGTGGGGACTGGAACGTGGAATGACAATAATTGTCATGAGAACAAATATTCGTATATCTGCAAGGCATATAACGGTATGTGCATATACGCTCCCCTTTTTATATTTAAAATTTTACATATTATTTGACAATTGTGTTAAAATACACATCTCTTATGCGAAAATCAGTCTCAGGGAAAGAGTGAAATCGACAGTACAGAAATGATATTTGCAAAAATAAAAACATGGGTATGTCCACACTATTTCCAAACATGAACGGTGTTTCCCATGTGTAGGTAATGCAAGTACAGTGGCGCCGTGGCCGGGGACGGGGGGGGGGGGCAGGTGGAGCCATGCCCCACCCCCCTGTTGTTGAGACCCGTCGAAAAATTGGAAATTTGTTATGTTGTCGGAATCAAGCATACCTGCATATATGAGCGGGAATGTTACTTTTCTTCGTTGTTTGACAATGCGAAACATGTTTAAATAAAAAAATATATAGATGTAATATGGGAAATCTGACTCAGTTTATGTTTTCCCAATATAAGTTTATAGACTAGTCAATATTTAATTCAATATGATTTCATATATTATTGCCTCCCATTATTTATGTCGGAAAAATTGTTTTTGTCGGGAAAATGCTGCCCTTGGCCCTTCCTAAAACATGGGACCCACGACCCTGTGCAAGTAATAACAAAACTTTCAAAGTAGAACAAGGGAGCACAGCAGTATTCTTTACGAGACTTGCGTACCTGCATGGCTGTAATTAAAATCTGTGAATAGGTAGTCTTTGTCTTCTTTGGTTTGCCAATTTGCATATATATAAACACTGTTTTTAAATATTTTTAAATACAATAACCACAGCCATAACTTTCGTAATAGCATACTTACGCGGGTTTCTTTTGTAGCGGGCGATTAGTTCTAATCGCCCGCTCGAATTAGTAAATTGCCCGTTGGCAAGGGTCACACCCTTTGTCTCCCTGCCGACTACGCATTAGGCAAGTGCCTCACGCACATAATCGTGCAAGGAACAGCAACAGTGTGCCCAGATCCGTCATTAGCCTTTCACCCGATCCCTGAGTTGTTGCATCATTTAAATTACGTTCGTACAGTCTCCGATTTTATACTAATATATTTATTGTTTTTTTGTGGTAGGTTAAATGATAGATTGCGCATTCGTAACCGATTAAAGCGTAAAAAGTGCGCATGTGCAACAAGCTGTTACATCCCACAAGCAAAGAAGCAAAAGTTTTAGCTTAAATTCGCTGATTGCAAGTAGGGCATGTGTCTCAGTTTTTAATTGGAGCTCAACTGTGCTATTACAAACTAATAGCAGGAGATTAGTGTTTAAATGACCCATTACTCTTGGCAGGTTTGCGGAATCCCCTCGGGCTTCGCCCTCCGGGATTCCACAAACCTGCTTCGGGTTACAGGGTTATTTCATTACTAATCTCCCTCAAGCCATGCTATTACTTATAATAATATTTCGTATAAATATTTTTGCCCTTCGACGCGCGTTCTTTCCAGGCGGGACTAGCTAACAGTCGTGGGTCGTGGGTCGTGGGTAGAATGCCGTGGGTCGTGGGTAAAAAGGCGTGGGTCGTGGGTAAAAAGGCGTGGGTCGTGGGTAAAAAGGCGTGGGTCGTGGGTAAAAAGGCGTGGGTCGCGGGTAAAAAAGCGTGGGTCGTGGGTAAAAAGGCGTGGGTAGTGGGTAAAAAGGCGTGGGTCGTGGGTAAAAAGTCGTGGGTCCTGAGAAAATGCCGTGGGTTCCAAGCAAAATATTTCTATATATTTACCTTTCTCCCTTTAGAATGCGTGTTTTTTTCTTCTGAGACTTTCCCAAATATACATAGTCTTAGAGCGCGTTATTAAGGCCGGGTTTTTGATATCGGCAGATCGGTTTATAAATATTATAACCAAGGGTGGATGAAACAGTTCAACTTCACGCCCCATATAGCTCAAATATTTGGAAGTTATAATCTTATAGAAAGCGAACTATTGTAATTCTTCAATAGGAAATAGTGCTACCATAAATAGCTAAATTGTGACATTCAGGGCTTCACTGCAATTTGTTGATCGTCATGATCGATGTTCTTACAGTAATAAGCGAGAAATTTCACTTGGACAGTTAATGTAATGCAATGTCTGTTTTACTAGGGAAAAATAAAAAAAGCATTTGAGAGATTTCAATTAAATACATATTTAGTATATACTAGCAGTAGTGAATCTAGACATCTAGTGTCAAATTTATTATGTGACTTGTATTTTCTAATGTCAAACATAAGTTACAAATATACAGTCACATACAGTATTTGTAACATTCATGCTTTGACTTACTTTCAGTAGGCTTTTGTCGGATTATTTTACCGTAGGTTTGATAACAGATAACAGAGAGGTATACTTCTACATATTTCTTGAGCATCAAGTTTCAGCGAAGTCAATGGCAAGTTGGAATTTGGAAATTTCACAGCGCTTATTTAATAACAGCCGGAGTAGCATTGTTTACATGCAAGGTTTGTTCCGTTTGTAGTTTGCGATATTTCGAATCAGAAATCGTTTAGGATAGACTTCAGCAGTTTTAAATAACAGCAACATTGGTTGGTCTAGAGATATATTTTCTTGTAATGTTTACGACGATGTCGGTAATATCAACAACAAAATTACCGATATGGATATCGATGCATCACTATTTTGCAGACCGGCGATCTTCGAATTCTTTGTATAGTATATACATGAAGACCATATGTAAGTCAAATGTCATATTATTTCATTAATTAAATGGTTAGCTATATTCCGCAGTTCCATATATAGCTTTGAAAACATATGATGCCATTGCCGGTTATAAATATTTGACTATAATATCGAGTGGATAGTGCTACTCAGCTTTCGTACATGTCGCCTTGAGCCGATTCTTATTGAAGAATTGCAGTAACTAATTTATCTGTCTATAAGATTATAACGTCCAAATATTTGAACTATATGGGGCGTGAAGTTGAACTGTTTCATCCACACTTGGTTATAATATTTATAAACCGATCTGCCGATATCAAAAACCCGGCCTTAATAACGCGCTCTAAGACTATGTATATTTGGGAAAGTCTCAGAAGAAAAAAACACGCATTCTAAAGGGAGAAAGGTAAATATATAGAAATATTTTGCTTGGAACCCACGGCATTTTCTCAGGACCCACGACTTTTTATTTGGGACCCACGACTTTTTATTTGGGACCCACGACTTTTTACCCACGACCCACGCTTTTTTACCCACGACCCACGCCTTTTTATCCACGACCCACACCCTTTTACCCACGACCCACGCCTTTTTATCCACGACCCACGCCTTTTTACCCACGACCCACGCCTTTTTACCCACGACCCACGGCTTTTTACCTACGACCCACGACATTCTACCCACGACTGTTAGCTAGTCCCTTCCAGGCTATTTTCAGATGGTCGTCCGCCGTACATATTGCGTCGCATGTACGGGTTTGTAAAATACGCGCGAAAATTATAATAAAAATTAGGGGGAGTGAAATTGTGGGCACGTGATCAATGTTAACCAATATCGTTTGGGAATTTGAGAAGCGCTAGTTATCCAAGGTTTGTACCAAAATCAAACGCTTACATCAGAAAGAGTCGACTGTGAAACCCTACCAAAAACTGATTTGTTCACAATTCGCAAACATTTCAACTTTGATTCCTTTTTAAATGTATTATTTGCTGCTTCTACTTCGAGAATATTGCCCATAACATATTCGAAAGCGGTTTTAATTCTATAAATAAACTAATTTTGTCATTATTTATATTAATTAAATCGTTGTTCGTTGTGATGTTTCAGTACGTATGTTAGTTATATTAATTAATTAAACACAATTATTTTTTATCAGTGAATATGAAGCAATCTGATTGGCCGAAGAGCCTTTCAGAGCGGGCCGGTTTTTTGCATCCGGCCCGCTCTGAAACGCAACTTCCCGCTGTGAAATGCGACTGCCCGCTCTAGTTTTCGTGCCAAAAACTGAGGAGTGAAACAACTTTTAAACGAAAAAATCCGCCAAAAACGTTTGAAAAACATAGCCTAAGGGATCATTCATAAAGTATGTGTACTGGGGGGGTATGAGACGAATTACGACATTTGTGGGGGGGGGGTACGAAATAAAAAATGAGTGGCATACTATGTCTATGATTAATGAAACTACAGGCTTTTATAATACAATATGCTTTCAAAAAATCGAGTGTATATGTTCCTAAATGTTCTTGGCCGTAAATTGCAATGTAGCACAGTAGTATTTATGAAAGTGTCTCGATCGGAACATATTAGTTTGACATTTCTGTAACCTGAACGGTACTTGATTACGTTATTTTACCGTCGGGTGGCTTCCCTGCACGTTTACTTTTAGAATGATTTAAATATTGAGAAAGATATGAAATGCGTCACGACGTTCTGTTGATATAACCAAAGTCTACAAATATGTGAGATCCTAACCTGAGATCAGGTTCTATTTTAGAAATATAACCTGACACGCACAGCAAAGTTTATATTTAGTATCCAATCAAAATGTCGCAGGAGAAATTTGCAACTAACTGGAGAGCAAAATCAGCAAATAATATGGTGAGCAATTTGTTTGTTTCACAATTTTTTAATTAATGAATTGGTGTTTTGAGCGTTTTTGTATAAAAATTGGTGTTAAGATTTTGAGTAATGTTTTTCCTTTTTTCTAGATCTGACCCAGATGTTCACCAAGAGCATATAAATAGTATTATTATATAAAGTATAGTGCATCATAGAGTTGGCGAGCACTGACTAAAGTGATAATCTCACATGTGAAATTATTTATGATAATCTCATAATCATGTGAAAATGATCGCTTTTCATTTATCGCTTTTCTGTAAAAATTATTGGTTTTCAAAGACTGTCCTTTATATAATAAACAGAAAAATACATGGGTGCTTGGAAATACCAGATTTATTTCTCGTGTTGAACAT